TGTCAAAAAGGCTTGGTTCAAATGAATGCCTTATGAAAACGTCAACTGTGCTTTAATTTGCATTAGATTGGGAGAAGATAGTATGTTAGTTTCCTAAGCACAAAACCTTAAATATCTTTCCAAGACAGCCAGAGCTCTAGGGGTGGTTATGCAGTGCATGTGTCTGAGCTACTTGGATCTCTTCCATGGGTGAATTTCTGTAGTAAGATATGCATTACCATTCAGGCAGCAATCAGACTAAATTCGGTGCTTTGTCTCTGCAAAGACCTGGTGGTCTCTTTGCAACTCCTAGGCAGAGATTAAATTCATATTTAATGAAAGAAGGCACAATCTTTTTACTGAGGAGTGCTCAGTGGCTATTTATTAAAAAATATGATCTATTGTAATTCTAGTAAGTTGAGATTTTGTTTTTTGGAACATACTTAAAATGGCAAGAATTGCCATCCTATTGTTTCTTCTTAAGCTAAGGGGGTGGGGGCAATTCTGAAGATATGAGCAAATTTAATTGAAAAAGAAAATTTAGCTTCACATTAAAATTAGAAGGAATAATGTGTACATCTCTTAGTTGTCACATTTGGTTTCCTTCAATGGGTAGCATTTTTCCTAGAGTTAAGCAATGCATTGAAATATTTTCACACTTCAGACCATGGAAAATGTGATGTACTCCTAAGCCAAGGTCTGCATACTAAACACAAATTTAAAATGTGCTCCCAAAATTGTGGCTATAGTTTTATTATAGGAATAACCATGACCGTGACCGTGACCAAATATAAGACACAATAAACAGTTCACCTCTAGAAGTAATATTCCTGAAGAGGTGGATATTGTTCAAATATACATTAGGTTAAACCACAAGCCTAGATAAGCTTCTGATTGTCCAACATCATAGAAGTCAGAATAAAGCTGAAGCTAAAAACCTGTTCTGCTAAATTCCAGGTCATACTCACCAGGACACTTTTTCTCAGGAGCCCAGTGAAAAGGGGAGATGCTATAAAATATGTACCTAACAAAGCTTGTCAGCGGCTTGAATGGAGCAAACCAGTCCAGATCTGAGAATTCTAGGAAATAAATGAAGTTGAACATTTACTGCCAACAACCATGTCACTGGGGCCACAGACAACTGGAGCCGTGCAGCTGGGGAGGGGAGGAGTCTGTAGCCAGAGAAGGCAGTGGAACGCACCCAGGTTGGATAATTTATGGTGTGCTGATGAAGAGGCAACCTTCCATATGAGGAACAGCTTAACAGAGGAACAGTCAAGCTAAACTAGGAAGAGGTCCAGTGAGAGACAGAGAGAGCAACAAAAGCGGACGTGAATAAAAATGACAGGTAATAAAACAATACAAATCTAAAATGCTGTAACTTTCAGAAATAATTTAGGGCCAAAAGAAGAGGAAAGAAGAAACTAGTTTTGCTGGCGTTGGGACAATTTTCCAAGAAGCAAAAGACATGAAGCAAAATGAATGTGCTGAATTTAAGACCAAGTTTGCCTCCATGCCTTTCTAGCTACAAGTTTCGTTGCTTCTAAGGCTGGTTTATCCATAAAAAGTGTTAATTTTGTTTTTACTTAGCTGATGTATCTTTTTTTTTTCCCCCCAACAAACTGCTGTGCACTATTCCATGTCAGCCACTGGACCCTCTGTGGCTCTGTGCTGAACCTCTGTTCACAGGCACAGTTCCTGCCCTCAAGAGGCTTATTATCTAGTGTGAGAGGTGGACAAGTCCACCCTCAGCTTCTGGACAGCAAGGTGGGTGCTATGATAGCTAGAACAGGGGTAAGGGAAGGGCAGAGGGACAGCCGCAGGAATGAGGTGCTGCCTGGGCTGAGACCTAAGGAATATAAGCCCCAAAGTGAAGCCTGGCATGGAAATAATTTAGTGAATGTTGCTTTCTATTCTGATTGAATAGACACTTACCAAACCTCCATGCAATCCAAACCCGTTTTTATTTAAAAATTAAAATGCATTTCATGGCCAGGTACAGTGGCTCATGTCTGTAATCCCAGCACTTTGGAAGGCCGAGATGGACCGATCATGAGGTCAGGAGTTCGAGACCAGCCTGTCCAACATGGTGAAACCCCATCTCTACTAAAAAAAAAAAAAAAAAAAAAAAAAAAAATATTAGCCAGGTGTGGTGGTGGTACATGCCTGTAATCCCAGCAACCAGGGAGGGTGAGGCAGGAGAACTGCTTGAACCGGGGAAGCGGAGGTTGCAGTGAGCCAAGATTGTGCCACTGCACTCCAGCCTGGGTGACAGAGCAAGACTCTTATCTCGAAAAAAATATATAAAATAAAAATAAAATGCATTTCATGCAAAAATGCCAACTTCTGTGGTTCCTAGTAGTTTCCATCCTTGAATTCTGCACTTAAGATCTGTCTACTCGAGCTTTTTACAATCCTTTATATGGTACAAAATACCTCTTCTCCCAAGTCTGGCCAAAAGCCTATTAAATACCAGCTACCAGTTACCACACGGCCCACAGGTGCCAGGAATTTCATGTGTGTCTCTTTTACTCTTCGCAACAGTGCCTTGAGGTAGGACTGTCACCCCCATTTGACAGAGGAGAGAATGGAGTGTAACAGAGGGCACTCTCTCAAGGCCACACACAGTAAGTACTGGAGCACTTTGTTCCACACCACACCACCTCTGGCCTAAGTATACAGGTTGGGACTGTTCCAATAACATTTCTACACCCAAGAAAGGCTCTGAGCTGTTCCCAAAGTAACTTTAGCTAAGTACTTTCTCTTGTCTTCCCACCATTCTCGATAAAGCACTACTAGTAAGGGCCAGAAACTCCTTATTTTGGGTGGCACTGGGGATGTTTGCATTGTAATGCAGGGGAGTTTTCAAAAGCTGAGAACTGTAACATGGTACCACAAATGAATCCATACACACTGACATCCAGGGTGGGTCCTATGCCCCACTAACCTTCCTTATCTTAAAAAAAGAATTTTTGGCCAGGCGCAGTGGCTCACACCTGTAATCCCAGCACTTTGGGAGGCCAAGGTGGGTGGATCATGAGGTCAGGAGATCGAGACCATACTGGCTAACACGGTGAAACCCCGTCTCTACTAAAAAAAAAAAAAAAAAAAAAAAAAATTAGCCGGGTGTGGTGGCAGGTGCCTGTAGTCCCCGCTACTCAGGAGGCTGAGGCGGGAGAATTGCTTGAACCCGGGAGGCAGTGCTTGCAGTGAGCCGAGATCACGCCACTGCACTCCAGCCTGGGCGACAGAGTGAGCTCCGTCTCAAAAAAAAAAAAAAAGAATTTTCTTAAAGATGAGCGTAACTTTTCCATGGCTCCCCACCTGCACCCTCCCTCTCCCCATGGATCAGTGTTCCATTGAGTCATCTAAATTTAGTTAGTACATTGGGGCCGCTGCTCTGAAATGCTCGGAAATGCAGCTGCTCTGAAATGGGGATCCAGCCAGAGTGCTGAATCATGAGCCAATCATATCATCTCTGTACCTTTGCTCTTTCCCCCATTCCTCACTGTACTTCTTTCCGGAGACTGCCTATGGCCTTGCTGTAAGAATATGTGGGGAGACACAGGCCACAGATGGGCTCCTCCACAACCTAGGGACTTCAGACTTTCCACGAGTGCTGGGTGGGTGTATTCTGTCCCCACACCTTTGTTTCCATACACACTCCACACCCACTACTCTACCTTGGCCAACTGGCTAGTATTTCTAAAACACGACTTCGTATCTGAGGATTGAGCAATCTATGAATTATTTCATAGTTTGAATTCAAGTTTCATGGTTTGAATTCAAGTAGTATTCTTTGTAGAAGTCATTTGGTAATGTCTTTGAGACCAGTCTTTCAAAAAAACAAACTGGGAACTGGTTTGAATGGTAAAGCCTTTTCATTATTAACCAAAAAGTTCTAAAACTATCAAACAGTAGAGGTCTGATATTCCCTATTTGAAACTGGGTAAAGCGTGATCAACTGACAAACCACAACACAATCTTTCAGATATTTCTATCCCTACTCTCTTATTCTCAAATTTACAAAACTATTTGCAAAAAGACAAATACTAGTTTTCTCTTTTACTATTTGAGGCAAATCATGTCTACGAACACTGGCTTTTAAAACCAGACATTAAAAACAGATGATGTAAGATCCACTAGCTTATCAATTAGAATTCCGTTCTTTCTCTGCTTAGGCAACTTCCTTGAGCACAAAATATTATGATCATGCCTGGGCTGAGCTGGCCACATGCGTGGTGCTTTCATCCAAGGCTGAGATTATCAGTAGGATGAGTGCTGAAACTCCACTTTTCTAAGAAAATGATTTTGCAGCCAGGATGGCCAGAAACTTCAAATGACAACTTTACTGATTTGAGGTAATTTCCCAGGAATTTAAGAGGCAATCATTTACTCCTGGCTTTCAGAGAGAACCTGGGCTTGAAAAGCACAGTTCCATCTAAAATTGATCAGCTGGCGACAACCCTCTGAAGTCACTTGGGAGTGAGGGAACGCAGTTGAGACCCCTACACATCTGGACTGAACTATTCAGTTCACTTTCCAGGTTGTAAATTTTCTGGCCCCAAAGACTACTTGAAAATAACTTTTGACCAAGCAAGTGGATTTTTTATTAGCTGAAGTACTAAATTTTTAAAAAAATTATTTTGATATGGAACACTACAGCTATCAGACTTGCCAACAACTAATCTTCAAGGAAATGTGCATTTAAGAAAATAGCAAAATTACGAGAAACAAAAATCTGAGTCCTGAAAACATGGATTTTAAATTATTGTAGACGACAATCTTATTAAAATACTGCTCTATATCATATTCAAATAAACCAGATAATTTAATAAATATCAGCACTTACCATCTAACTTGATACTATGGTTGAGACTAAAAGGGTTTTGCTGCCTGGACATTTTTGACATTTGTCAATCTACATAAGCAGAAAACATCTGAACAAAAGGAAGGACACACACACGTTTTCACTGAGAGCTATATTTGAAGAACAGCCTATATCCCTCTAAATTTCAATCTCCAAATTTTGATCTTTTTATTTATTCTGAAAGTCTAAGACATTAAGAATCAGTACATATGATTTTAAAATAAGACTGCATATAGTTAGAAAAATATGTTTCGAGAACATATATTTTATTTCTTAAGAAAATAAAACCACGTACAAAAATCATTTCTGTTCACTCACGCCAATCCTGTTGTTTGATTTTTGTGACTAAGCACCACCATAAAGCACGAAGCTCTGAAGGAAGGCGGCGGCAGAGCTCTCTCCTTAACCCCGGCCTGCCTTGGGGTCTCATTTCTCAGCTTCACTGGAAAGTTCAATCACTCCCTGGTTGGAGACCGTATTTAAAACAGCCCACAGTTTGGAAGGGTCCTCACAATTATGCTGGTGCTTCCAGTGGCGGAGGAGGTCCTCTTTCCGTCCCAGCATCTCTGCACAAAGCAGGCAGTTAAAGCCTGAACGGGACCACAAGAGAACTGTGTGGAGGCCAGGACACTCAGGGCCCTGGTAGGTTTCCCTTGGTTTGTTGGTTCCTGACTGGGGTCCTTCATTTTCCATGAGCATTTCCATGCCATTCTGATGATGAAGGTGGAGCTGCCTTTTCAGTCTCGGACATGCGTGTGAATCCTCCTCGGAGGAATGAAGCTTCTCCGGCTTCCCTCTCTCAGGATGCCTTTTCCAGTCAGGGCTAGTGTGCTGCACCAACTCTTCCTGAGTCCCCTTGCTTCCTGGGAAGGTCCCTTCTTGTAGCCTGCCCTGAATTTCCTCTCCGTGAACATAAAGTAAATGAAACTTTATTTCCGCAAAAGACTGAGCAGTAATCTGACAACGGCCACATTTGATTTGTAATTTGACTTCATCTGCCTGGTTTAGAAGGAAGTCTTCTTCCAGGTTGGACTTGTTTTCTCTGAAAAGGGCAAAAATAGTGTACATAAGTTTCATGGAAAAATGCAATTGGAACCGTTCCTCTTAGCTCTCAGCCTTCAGGGATCTAAAACATACACTGATGAGAAAGACAAGGGCTGGGGTAAACAGAGAGCGCCTGGGAAGACCTTCCGCAAGGACCGCGGTGAATACCAACTGTCACTCCTGCTTGCGGCCACACATTTCTCCAGCTACCAGGGTTCCTTTAATCAACAGTCCTTCTCTTCATGCATCTGTCCCAGGTGAGCTAACTTATCTTTGGTTACCACAGGGACAGGAGCAATCACGTGGAAGAGTCACGTAAGAGTGCGTGAAGGGCACAGGAACACCCTCAGTTCTGTTGAAGGTAACGGTCCCACCCTACCCACTGTGGCTCTCCCTAACCTTGAGCACCAATACCTTCTATTCAATTTTGGCTCACTCTGTTATGTTCAGTAAAAATAAAGGGTGCCTATCCTATTTCTTCCTTGCTTTTCTATAGTTTCTCCTTTTTCTCAGACGTTTCTGTCCCCTTTAAGACCTCTGTGCCTTTCACTAATGAACCATGAAACCTCACTTCTTCCTTCTTTTCCTATAGTTAGATTTTGATTTTTAGGTAAAATGTCCAAACTACATTTGGCAAGAGCGTCTGTTTTGATTTGGGGAAGGGGAAGATTTCACATTCAGAAAGGAGCCAGTGAGCACCCGCCTGAAGGTGCAGCGGGGACTTGTGGGGCTGGCCCTGAGTGTCGGGTTCATTTGTGCGGGGCTGGCCAGGGCCACTGCGCCACCTGCACCTTGCCTGCTGTTGCTGCTGGGGAAACGTGGAGAGGAGGTGGGCAGTCCCTGAAACCTGCCGCCCTGAGAGCCACTGTGATGGGGCCAGGCTGAGTCACCTGCTGGCCGGGGAAACAGCACACTAGGGCATGCAGGAGCGGGTAGAGAGGGGCCCTGAGGCGGAGATGGGCCAGGGGCGGTGCCACGCTTCATGGAGCCGGGGAGCTGGGGACAAGCAGGAGCCCTGCCCTTTCCAAGTTGGCGGGGTGGGAGCTTCCCAAGCGCAACAGCCTGCAGCTGCCCAAGCCGCAGCTGCGACCCAGGCATCCCTGTGCTCTTGGAAGCTGGGAGCAGGCAGGAGCCCTCCTGCCCTCCCAGGCATCACTGTAGTTACCCTGCTGTGGCTGCAGATCCAGGCATCTCTGCACTCTCAGGGGTCCGGGAAGGCCCCTTCCTCCCACAGACTCAAGAAGTACCTGCTCCTGCTGACTGGCTTCTCCTTACTGTCAGCACCTCCTCCAATCTCAAAGCAAGGCTGGGGCTGAGCCTGGGCACTGTTGTAACCTGGCTGGGTGTGCACACGCTTGAGGCAGTGCTGATATGCCCACCCCCTACCACCCTGGCCCGCTCCAGACTTTGGGTGCCGATAAGCATGGGAGGGAGGCTGACGAAGGGGCGCTGAGGACAGCTCGGTGCCGGCCTGCAGGTGCCCCCTCAGCATGAACAGCCTGGGTGCCATAAACAGAAGCAGGAGGCAAAGAAGCTTCTGGGCAGAAAGGGGGAGGTCCCCGGTGAAGCCCCGCCATCAAGCTGGGGAAGCCCTGAATCCTGGGGGCCAGGCTGCCGGCCACGTGGACTGGAGTGGGAACTTGTGGTGCTTTTCTGGGTCTGTCCATGACCACCCATGGACCAACCGCACGCCACTTCCTCTCCTCTGAGGCACATAAAAGCCCCGGACTTAGCCAGACTTGAAGAGACAATGGGATGACCAGTGGCAGAGAGGGGCTACCCTCTCTGCTGAGAGCAGAAGAGATGACGGGGATGACTGGCCTGCAGAGAGGAGCTACCCTCTCTGCTAAGAGCTGAATGTTAGTTGGGACAACCTGGCTGCAAGGAACTGCCCCCTGCAGTTCAACTCTGAGCTGTTCTATCACTTGATAAAGTTCCTCTTTATCTTGCTCACCCTCTACTTCTCTGTGTAGCTCATTCTTCCTGAATGCAGGACAAGAACTCGGGACCTGCCAAATGGTGGCGTTAAGAGAGCTGTAACACAAACAGGCTGAAACACGCCCTTTGCTTGCCACACTGCAGGTGAAGAGCTGTGGTCCTTTGGGGAGCTCTGACCTGGGAGCCCCCTGAGCCAGGGCAGTGACTCCCTCCTGGGGCCATGCAGTTCCTGGAGTCTCCAAGCTTCCGAGCAACATCATGTTCCCGGTGCCAGCTGTGGAAGCTGCTTGTGATGTGCCTGGTCCAGACACAGCCTTGCAGGGAGGTGGCATCTGGAGCTGCCTAGCCTGCAGCAGCAGCCGGCGTGCCTGCCTATGCGCAGTGGCCAGACCCCATGCTCACTCACACATCCCTCACCACTCTGTGCCTGGCTTGCCCTTGGAAGGCATGGGATCTAGGCCAGTAGCATGAGTTGAGTGCAGCCTGCCAGGCCCAGTGCATGGAACGAGCCTAATGGGCCAGAGCAAAACTCACGCCAAGGTGCCACTGGCCACAGAGGTTTCCGGCTGATGAAATGACACCCCAAGGATCCTGTAACAGTAATACTAGGAAGCAGGGCTTGCAAAAAGGAATGACTCCAGAAAGAGAGAACCTGACCTGATGGGAAAAACATGGCAAACGAAGAGGGTGGGGTCTGGGCACCTTAAGGTAGGGCCAACATGACAGACACACCCACTCTGAGTCCCCATCATGGGTCATGCCGCATTTTGGGGCAAATGATGCTGTTTAAAATAGTGCAAATTCTGTGGATGTGATTTTGGGGGAAATTACTTGTAAAGACCACTGGAACTATATACAATAATTTACTAGAGTGGTTAAGGTAATTCCAAATATGGATGATCAGAAACCAGAGAGAAACGAGATTATTCTTCACAGAACTAGGAGGTATAGATAACTACCTTATGAAATCTTAATCCAAGAGATGTTTTATAAACTCTCCTTTCTGAACATGAAATCTTCCCGTCTTCCCCAAATCAAAACAGACTCTCTTGCCGGGTTTCCATTCCATCGACACTCACCTCTCCAGTGATCCCTCCGTGCCTCGCACACTCATGTCTCTGTTCTTTGGTATGTCTCCTGGCTGCAGTTCACTGGCGGCGGGTTCAGTGCTGATCACAACCCTATGCACTTCTTTCAGATGGCCAAAATAGACTCGGACGTGGCCAAACACTTTTGCACAAAACTCACAACACATGAGTTTCTTCAGACGGTTCTCACCATGATGAAGTTTCATGTGTGTGCTCAGGCTGCCAGGACGTACGTAGGACTTGCGACAAATCCGACAACTGTAAGGCCGTCTGTTGGTGTGTGTATTCATGTGGTCTCGAAGGTGCTGTTTGAACTGGAAGTGGTGGTTGCAGACATGACATCTGTGCCAAGGCTTCTTAATGCCAGAGAATCCACTTCTGAACATGGAGCTGGGCTTAGGGGAAGAGCTATTGTCTTGCTTACAGCCAAGATATTTAGGAGTGAGTGAATTATTTAATGAAACATCCTGTCCTAGGCCCCCAAGCATCTGGGATTGTAGTGTAGCTGGAGAAGCCAGGGGGGTCAAAGTGGGTATGACCATGATAGGTTTGGGCATAATGCTACGATATTTTTTCAGGGTCCCCGGCTTTTGGTCTCTGAATTCTTGGGGATCATTTTTTACTCTTTCTTTACCATCTCTACACTTATTAATGACACATTTCCTCCTTTTTCCCTGAAATGCCAAAATTTCATCTGGTACCTTCCGTTTCCTTCCTCTTCTCTTTGCGGTTCCACTGTTCAGTTTTGTTTTGTGGTTGAGATCAAGTTTGGTGGGTGGACAAAAGGCACTTTCACAGGGACTCTGCTGTGACACTTGTGGAACAGGCAGCTTGCTTGCCACCTTGGTGGCTGCATTAAAGCCTTCTGTGGTGGAGGATACCTTATCACAGTCGGCCTTAGGTCCTGGAAAAGAAAAACCTGCAATGCTAGCATCTGATTTGATTTTGTAAACCTCCATTGTCTTCATTCTTGAGTAGGGTGGGATTGGCAGTTTCCCTTTGGGGACTGAAGAGATCAACGGAACTGCATTGCCAAGAATGGTTGGTGATAAACTGGTCATGGTTTTTGCAAGATCAACTTGTTCTTTAAACTTTTCACTGGCAACAGCAGAAGGCTTACTAGATGTTACCTTGCTTACAAAGTGTGGTTTCACTGAAAGACCTGTGAGGTCCTGCTTGGCAGGCCCCTCTGGTGTGGATGATGCTGGGGTGGCAGGAGGGTTCAGATTGCCATGGGTGTTGGTCACTGGTGGTCTCAAGTCCCCATGGTCACTTCCATTAGTCAGCGCAGCTGTGCCAATGCTGGCTGGGGCTTGCTCTAGTGATGGCACTTCCTCAAATGGGCTGGGTTTGTACAGGAGTTCAGGGTGGTGGGGTGGGGAAGGGGATACCTGAGGACACATTTGGGTTTGGGCAGGAGCTTTGCTACAGCCACTCTTAGGAAAGATCAGGATGGGTTTCTTTCTTGATCCTTTGCTATTTCTTGGGGGTTGATATCGAGGAATAGGAAGTTTCAGGTTTTCAGGTAGGGACATTCTGGGTTTCTGAATGGGCTGAGCTGATGCAACATGTGGCAAAGCAACAAGAGAAAATGTCCCCTCCTGGCCAGCAACCTGCATCAGAGCATAGTTCTGGGTGGACATCCCCAGTGGCTTAGAGTTGATGGAGGGTCCCAGATTCACCTGATCAGAGCGTGATGGTGAATGACATGGCAGCATTCTGGATGTTAGGACTTTGGGCACAATTTTTGGTGCGATGGTCCTAAACTGACTCTTATTCTGCAAACCTTTCCTACTCTGTATTGTTCCAGAAGGGATGTTTGATTCACCTGCAATGACAATAAAATATAAAGAGTTATTGTATGTAACTGTCCTGTTAGTGATACTTCAAACAACATGCATCTTATTTACTCTGCCCAGAAGAGATTCCTTGACCTACCTCCAAACCTTCTGGACAAACTCTTGTGTCCCTCAAGACCAGCTTGAAGATCAATTCCTGCCTACCTTCCTCAAGGATTACTATACTCATCTATGGTTCCTTAGCTCCTATTATGTTATTTACAATTTTCCATAATAATTTTTGTGTTTATGTGTATCTCTACTACTCAACACTGCTTGACAGCGAAGATTCCGTCCTTCTCATCCATGTATTCTGCAAGTCTATCTTCTCCATTTAACCTATCCCCACTCATCTTCACATGATGTCTGGTGTGTTCTGCTATGTAGTTTATTATTTTATATTCATGTTCTGCTTTCCCTATTAAGCTTGAGCTTTGTGAGGGTACAGCCTATATTCAATTCATCTTGATACTTCCCACTGCATCCTTTGTATGAAACAAGCATTTCTTGTATCAAACTTATTTTTCACTCAATCTCAGCATACACCATTTGACCCACTAGCAGTTGAGTTTGTTTGGCACAGTGGATGCATTCCAGACTGAATGCTAGCTTTGTTGCTGTTTCCCCATGTGACTTGCGAATTTCTTCTCACACCTTTCAAACTGTTTATGTGTGCTTTTGCAATTAAATCACCAGTATTAAAAAAGCTGATGTGACACCTTTAAAAAATGTTGAATAAAAACCAAAAAGATACAAAGTGATAAGTAAAGATACAGAGACAACATGAAAAATATGTGAATGGCACAAAAAGCACCTTCTAGGATACTAACAAGAACAATTTTGACTGCTAGAATAACACTTCATTCTTTCTGGATTTATTAACCTGACCTAAGACCAATTACCACTACCTTAAGAGAACAATTGTGGTGTCCTGCTTCTAAAGACTGAATTATCTATTTTATTTTCTGAGGTCTCAAGGTCACAAGACCCAGGTGCAGAAATGTTTCTAATTTCTAAGTATCTCATATTAATCAAACTTCAATTCACATTTACTAGGCACCTACATTATTCCAATCATTATTATTCCAGGATTGGCTACTGCAAGCCCACGATCCCTTTTCTGAAATATTTGGAGGAAGACGTGGTTTGGAATTTATATTTTCAAATTTTGGAAAAGTAATAAGATGCATATACTAAATGTTACATAACTCCCAGCAGAATCTGCAGGGCACCCATAATTGAACCTATTACCACTTGTGTAGCAAAACATGCAAATATTCACAAGTAGGACAAACGAAGATTTTTAAATTGTCTTTATTTCAGTTCAAGTTTTTACTTCTGAATGAGTTTGGAACTTAACTTTTCATAAACTTCTGTTTTCAGAGTTTTTTAGATTTTAGAGTTGGAGGTAAGGGACTGAACACTGTGTTAAAGGATACAAGGTAGGTAGCAGACAATCTAGTGAAACAGACAATCGAAAATGTACAATCAGCTGGGTGCGGGGGCTCACGCCTATAATTCTAGCACTTTGGGAGGTTGAGACATGCGGATCACTTGAGGTCAGGAGCTCGAAACCAACCTGGCCACATGATGAAACTCCGTCTCTACTAAAAATACATAAAAAATTAGCCAGGTATGGTGGCGGATGCCTGTAATCCCAGCTACTGGGGAGGCTGAGGCAGGAGAATCACTTGAACCCTGGAGGCAGGGGTTGTAGTGAGCTGAGATCATGCCACTATACTCCAGCCTGGGCAACAGTCTGAGCGAGACTCCGACTCAAAAAAAAAAAAAAAAAAGAAAATGTAACATCAACCTTGATTTTCTTTTATCTTTTTTTTTTCTTTTTTGAGATGGAGTTTTGCTCCTGTTGCTCAGGCAAGTGCAATGGTATGATCTCGGCTCATTGCAACCTCTGCCTCCTGGGTTCAAGCGATTCTCCTGCCTCAACCTGCCAAGTAACTGGGATTACAGGCATGCGCCACCACATCCGGCTAATTTTGTATTTTTAGTAGAGACAGGGTTTCTCCATGTTGGTCAGGCTGGTCTTGAACTCCCGACCTCAGGTGATCTGCCCACCTTGGCCGCCCAAAGTGCTGGGATTACAGGCATGAGCCACCGCGCCTGGCCCATCAACCTTGATTTTAATGCCTACAGTGAGTGAATTAACAATTTTAGCAGGAAGTTGGTTCTTTCAGCAGAAATGACACCCCCTAAATAAACAAGCCACTTAGTAGAAATAAGTTGACATTTACATTGACCACTTTATTTTTAGAAAGTAATTGTTTTGTGAAGAAAAAGGATGTTATGAAACATAGTTCACAGAATAGCCTGCACTAGAGTAAGAAGTATAAGGACTAGTGCTATGCTCTGGAAAAATCAGAAAAAGATAATTATTTGTTGTTTTCCTTCTGAGTCTGATTACCATGAACTCCGCTTGTGGGTAAACTGAGTGGTAAATCACTTCACAATAGTCATCTATATGGACTGCTACTTCTTCCTACACAATTTTAATTTTTTAAGTTTTATTTTCATAGCCTTTAAATGTTTTTCATTTTAAACCTCACCTTCTCATCTTTTTTTTTTTTTGGAAGAAGTACCAAAATAAGTTGTAAATAAATACTTTAAATCAGGATCGAGAGACTTTGCAGAAAGCCTGAAATTACTGATGGCTTTTGGTTACTTAGAGATGTGGCTTAATACATAATTACATTAGCAGTAATAATGTTCTTTGCATTTACACAACAGATCTGGGGTATGGAAGGGAGAGAAGAGAAAATATTGGGTCATTTATCACTAGTTCTTCCTCCTAATTGGGCAGAAAATATTTACTGCAAGAAGGGCTAGAACAAAGGCTTAGTAATACGCCCTCTTTAAAGAATATGTGACAATAACACATCATAGCCCAAGATCTATGACTCCCTCATCTCAAATCTGTCCAGTGGCTCTTCATCTCAGAGTAAAGCCAAAATCCCTGCAATGGCTTAAAAGGCCTCATGCTTTAAAAGGTCCCTGGCAGTCTCTCTGACCTATTTCCTCCACTTGCTCTACTCCAGCCATGGTGGCCTCTTTGCTCTTCTGGGCATGCACCTCCTGAAAGGTGGCTCCTGGCTGGGAGGAGCACTGGCTAATCCCACCTGCCCAAGACATTTTTCCCTTTTATGCCCAAGACAATAAATCCCCAGTACTTGCTGCATCATTTCCTTCAAGGTTTTGTACAAATGGCTTCTTCTCAACGAGCATCTTCTCTGACGACCTTATTTAAAACTATATCCCATTGTGAACTCCCTGCTCCCTCTTCCTGTTTCATTTTCTCTAGATCATATGTTCCATCTATGGCCAGATGCAGTGGCTCATGCCTGTAATCCCAGCACTTTGGGAGGCTAAGGCAGGCAGATCACTTGAGGTCAGGAGTTTGAGACCAGCCTGGTCAACATGATGAAACCCTGTTTCTACTAAAAATACAAAAATTAGCCGGGTGTGGTGGCAGGTGCCTGTAATCCCAGCTACTTGGGAGGCTGAGGCAGGGGAATTGCTTGAACCCGGGAATTGGAGGTTGCAGTGAACTGAGATCATGCCACTGTACTCCAACCTGGGCAACACAGTGAGACTACGTCTCCAATGAATGAATGAATGAATGAATGAATGAATGAATAAATGAATAAATAAAGTATCACATATATCGCCTGCTTTCCCTAGAATTCCTAGAGGACAGGGAGTTGGTCTGTGTCTTCAGGGCCTACAGTATCCAGTACATGACAGAGATTTACTAAATATTTGTTGAATTTTTTAAGCAGTAATAAAGTGATCAAAGAGAAAAATAATTTAGAGGTTGAGCCTTGGAAATTTTGTAAACAGTGGGAAAAAAACACAATGTAAAAATGACCTTTAACATTTCAATATTTTGAAAATTTAAAAGGAAACAGAGGATATTTCTCAGAAACATTTTTAAATGTAATTTTATTTATTGCCAGAATAAGGAGTGAATAATCAACTAACCACCTGAGGAAATAACAAAAGAGAATGGTAAATTATGCTGCTGGGGCATACACTGAAATAGTCAAAGAAACAAGCAAGCTCTACAGAAAACACACACACAGAGAGGAAGAGTGGGGGGATTAGAGCGAAGACAGAGGAACAACAGAAAGGGAAACCAAACCTCAGAGGCAGAGCATGGTAATGTCAACATGAAGAAAGGCAGAAATAACAGACAGCAGAAGATGCAGCTGAAGCAACAACAGTGGTCAAGGTCACCTTGAAGTCTCTAAAGACTTAAGTTGGGAAGGAGCTTCCTATTTTTTATGACCAAGTGTGAGAAAGCAACCTTCTGACAGTTAAGGTTTCCAGAAATGAAACCAGATATACTTCATACAGCCACACCAAAAGGGAGTGAGCTAATTATGATATATTTGAAGTTAATGTGCTTCAACTGATCTTCAAATGTCTCTACATTATAGTGGGAATAAAATCACATAGGAAGAGCAAGGGCATTCAAAGGAAAAGGAGGCCACTGTGGTCTGAAAACAAAAGGACACTCCTGAGCTCTGTCCCGGCTGCGAGAGCACCGATCAGTGTCAGCCGTGTGGGCAACCTGAAGTGACAGAGGCCCAGATGACCGATATGATGTCTGCCAAACTGAGTCCGTGCTCCTCAAGGTCCCTGCAACTTAAAGAAGTGGATGCTGGGGTTGAAAGGCTTATCAGGTGGTTCATGATCAATATCACAAGCTAATCACAAAGAGTTTGTGGGGTGAAAAGATAAGGTCTTGTTGAGTACATTTAACATACTATGCTTGTCTGGCTCTATCAGGAAGTACATACAAAGGTGATGGTCTCCATGAAAGTGGCGCTGAATCCAGTTTCTCAGAATCATTAAGGACAGGAAACGAAACCAATGTGTTAATAGAAATGCAAGGCAGAAGAAAGACAGCAAGGCCACAGAAACAGAAGAGAAAAAACCCTGGTAATTACTTAAGTGTCCACCAACAGGGTGC